CTCAAATACTTACCTTGCTCATCAACACAGCATTTTGAGCTGCTTGACTCTGCTTGAAATGAGTAAAAGCATATTTTAACACTTGTAAAGGCTTACGTCAACACGCGTCATGATGCAAAACACACATTTAACACCTGTCAATGTGCATTATGATGTGAGTTGACATTCAATACAAAATGTATTGCAATGCACATTGAAAACATGCAACAATGTAGGTTATGTGCAATGTACTGCATTTTATAGCTTTTCCATTGATTTTAATAGAAAAGGCTTTTGGGGGAAAAACACATAGGAGTGAATCCAAAGGGTTCACATATTTCATCTATAGCTTTTTTTAGCTCCACTTACCTAAAAATCTGAATATATCTGCATTCTTCTTTTAATAAAACAGATGAAGCAGATTAAAATGATTTGTTAACTGATATCGTATGAAGTTGACTCAGCCATTTACACCGGGCAGATGCATATATTGAATAGGAAATCAATTGGTTTGCCACTAATGATAAGTGAAGGAGACTGAAGAAAGGAGGGAGGGACAACTGATTGCTGTCTGCAAGTTAAGTTAATTTGCTGGCGTATGCTCTCATCAATGCAATTTACGTGGAACATCATAGTTTGATTAATGTGATCCCTATAATTATGTTTTACAATAACAGGAACTACGTCTGAATAATAATGTGCTAATTTTTTTACATGATTTATATGAATGTTGAGTGTGCGTTCCCCACTGGGCACTTTTTTTTTCCAGCACCTGTGTTATATAAATATCAATGTGAACAAAGCACAAAGAGAGAGCCAGGCAAATAGATAAGGACTATCGCCAAGAATAGAGAGCCCATAAAACCTGACTAGATGTAGGAGAGGAAAGATTATTACATTTTCTGGAGTTTCTCTAAGTTGCAGTTGGTAAATATAATTAGGAAATATTGAAGGGTATTGTAAGTTTACCTGCACGCTTCTCACATTTAAGCTCACTATGGAATTCTGGATACATATACAATAAAGTGTGGTGATGAAGATGATAGATAGATAGATAAAAAGAGAGCGTAGGAGAAAGAAAGATGATAGATAGACATATATAGGTACATAGGGGTCTATTCACTAAGCTGCCAACGGATCTAGCCATAGCTTCGGCTGATCCTTCATCTAGTTTCGGCCCCAGGACCCCTTCGGTTCAGGAGAACCGAAGGGCTGCTATACGGGCTATTCCCTATAGCCCGTACAGCTCCCGAAGTTGGCCGAGACATATGCCTCGGCTCGACTGAGCCGCGGTGAAAGCCGACAGCCTGCTTCTGACAGCCGGCCGACAGCCTGCTTCTGACAGCTGGGCAGAGCCAGCCGTCATCTCACGGCTGGCTCCGGCCACTTTCAGAGAGATCATCGTTCCTGGTTACCAGCTAACCAGGGACGCTGTCATTACACACTGAGAGCGGCCTCTCCGTGTTCTCAGTGTGTAATGACAGATGGCATTCCTGGTTACCCAGTAACCAGGAATGCCATCTGTCATTCCTCCCCCAGACGCTCTGGGAGTCTAATAGGCTCCCGGTCACCCGGGGGAGAAACACTTTCTCCAACAAAGGTTCACTCTGCTCTATCGAGCAGAGTAAACCTTTCCCTGCTCATTTTTTTTTCTTCTGACATCGGAGCCGTTGACTGCCGTCAGAAGAAAAAAAAAGAGAAATCACCATAGGAATGCATATCTACATTCTAGATATCTAGAATCAGCAGAGGGAGACCTGCAGTTCTCCATCAGGCCCCCCTCTGGTGATTGACAGCAGCAGAGGGCGGGTACAATAGCTAGTTTGCTATTGGCTATTGCAAATAGCCAATAGGAATCTTGCTATGCATTACTATGGCGTGTTCTTCTTTTTTGACGGCAGCAGACCCACCTGGCCAATTTTTTTTCTACTTTTTTAACTATTTTTCTATTCTGCTCGGTTCCACAGAGGGACCAGGCAGAACAGCCAAGCCGAATGCTGCTCTGCGGCATTCGGCTATTTACTCACTGTAACAGCCTTCGGCTCACTTCGCTTGGGGTCGGCAGCTTAGTGAATAGACCCCATAGATAGATAGAATGAAAGAGATAGAAGGAGAAACAGATAGAAGGAGAAACAAAGAGATAGAAAAAGAAAGAGAGCAGGAGAAAGATAGGTGAGAGATAGATAGATAGATAGATAGATAGATAGATAGATAGATAGATAGATAGATAGAAAGAAAATAGAAAGGGAAATAAAGAGATAGTAAATAAAGAAAGCTGGATAGAATGAAAGCGATAGAAAGAGAAATAAAGAGATAGTAAAATAAAGAAAGCTGGATAGAATAAAAGAGATAGAAAGAGAAAAAAGAGTTGAAAAAGAAAGAGAGCAGGATTTATAGATAGATAGATAGATAGATAGATAGATAGATAGATAGATAGATAGATAGATAGATAGATGAAAGCAATAGAATGAGAAATAAAGAAATATCAGAAATAGAAAGATAGACAAAAAGATTGCTTGGACCAGTTTCCTGATAGTAACAATGATGGACTATGTCTGCACAATGTGTGTCAGTCTCCACCAAGTCCTCCATGATGGGATCCCCAGATATTTTTTTAATGACAGCTACAGATAAAAAACATATTAAACCTGCTTTACAGATTACATTAACATGGTAACGCTTATGTGAAATGTTAGTGATTGGGTTTAGATCTACTTTAAAGACTTACCAACTGGAAGCTGCCATTGACTGGCCCCTAAGCTGAACTACTGTGTACTTTGTACTAGTTCTGGGGCAGTCATATTACTCATAGTGATACTGAGCAAGTGTTTTATTACATAAGTGTAATTATAAGAATATTTATAAGAATATTTAAACCCCATCACCCAACACTCATATAAGCTTAGCATATTAATTTAATTTCAAAATGTGCTGCAATATTTGTAAGTCTGCAGTCGGATAACCAGTGAAATGTCTTCAAGAAATAATACAGAAAGTCCAGTTGCCTTGATTTTTTTTACAGATATACCATTACCTGGATGAATGAGAACCTTCACAGACCGTCGGTATCATATTGCTAAATCTGCTTTTCTGTCTAAACAAGCAGAGAAATACACTCTTAATACAAGGCATAGCTGACTGTAAATAGATATGCTGTTTTTCTTAGTCTGCTTTTTCTATACTTCTATTTACATATAAATATGTCTTTTATTGAATAAAGCATCTGGCAAAGGTCGACTATTTTCACCTTTAAGGTTTCTAAACTCCCAACATGTCAGTTTCTTTAAAAGTTACCCTGTGTGTTACAAGAAGATTGTGTCGCACTCCCAGGTGTGTTGTTGTAATAAGAAACCAATACATTAGAAGGAACTTTCTTTGTTTCCCAGTGGCTCACACTAATAAGTCCGTTCTGCCAAGTTCAGTCCAGCAGAATGAGGAAGCGACAATTATTGATATTGTGCAGGAACGGGGAAAAGATAGCAAGTTACTTACAGCTTAATGACTGCACAGGTCGGCGGGTCCGGGATTACTCTCTTTGTTGTGGATGTTAATTTCTTGATAGTTTTGCTTTTTGACAGCAAGTGAATGTTACCTGGAACAAAAGCATTCGATGAGCTAGCTTCCAGCATAGTTGAAAACAAGTAAAGTTTCTGTATGTGTGGTAGACTTTTTGAGCTAAACATATAGTTATCAACATTTAGAACCTTCTAAAAGTGTATGTACAGCCAAAACGTATTTTTTTAGTTTAGGATTAGAGAGTTTTAGAACCTGTGCCAAGTTTTCATTGTTGTCTTTGTCTCTGCTAAATAGATGTCTCCACTCTGTATGTCCTGATGATCCATGCCTGATAACCCTTTTTTAAACCAAATCCCACTGTCTCTCTTTGCACCTCGGTTGTTCCTGTTTTTGGTCTGGTGGACAGATATCTATAAAAATGTATTATTTAATACCAAAAGTGTTAATATTCATTAAAACCTTCATCCTATCTCTTAATTATCCTGTTTGCTATTTTGAAAAGCCAGTATAAAGGAAAAGTGATGGTAAAAAAAACACATTCTGGGTTTAACCAATCGTTTTTGGCATATAAATATAAATTAATATTAGTCAACATAACTGAGGGTGTGGTAGGGATGTGCCCATTGAATAAATATTGTGCTGGAAGCTGCCCCCCTTTTCATCCCATAAAGTTAGGAGGCATGTGGTTACCATTGTCATTGAGACAGAAGGCGAGGTGTCCATTCACAAGAAAATATGCAAGAAGCTGAAACCTGCAGCAAATGTGGAATTCTATCCTTATATGAGGTCAATAAACTGAACTACTGCACTAAGTATATAGACATTATACTGTGCACTACCTTATTAAAAAAACCCATAGGAGTGCAAACATGAAATTGTTTGAACAATACACAATGCTTTAGATGACACTAAGATGGTAACTTGTTTGCATTTCATCTGCATGTGATAACTTTGCAGCTATTTTAGAGCAGATCATTATCACTTCTTTACACAATAACAGGGACAGGATTCAAAAAAAATATATGTATTGAAATTTTAGCCTGGGATCACAGCAATTTAAGAATTGGTGGATTTGTAAATGTATACAGCACTGTTCTCCATACCCAATACTTCCAGCAATACAACTAAACATTGGACTAGCTTGTTTAATGGGAGGAATAAGGGGCATATGTTGTATTTTTCTATTTAAAAATATATGTAAAAAACAGAACAAAGTAAAGATCAATGAAGCTGTTATCCAATAGCTGCAAAATGGACTGGTCCAAGTTGAATATCATATTGAGTAAATAATTTTGGTCATCTGTAGTGGTTACAAATTGTTTTAAATAATTGTTTTTTTTTTAAATGTATTGTTGTTACTATCAATCAATTATTATTTTTATAATTCAGGTTTATAATATTACTCTTGTAAAGAACTTTTTTATAAACAGATGTCTGATTACATAGTTTAGATAATATTATGTGTTAAACTAACATAAGGTGTTTTTTTTGTGCTTGTTTTACAGAATGGGTAAAAGAGAGATACAAAGCTTTATCAAATGGGTACTGGTTCTCACACTTTGCCTTTTAACCCTATGGGGAAGGATAGCATCAGCATCAACACATCACAGAATTCATTCAGGTAGGCCTTTTTTAATATAAGCAGATTAATGCTGAGTCAGACAACACTAATGACTGCCAACCAGTAGTCCTAATTAATTTCTTTCAGCAACGTTAAGTGTATTTCAACTTTTGCAGTTAAATTTAAGAAAACCCCACTGTACTTTTGCTATGTACTCCATTGCACCTAAAAATAATTTGCTTAGAATAGAAACAATGCAGAAATAAGGATGTGTGTGTGTGTGTGTAATATTAAAGTCAAAAAGATTTTAAGCTATTTAAAAGCTGATGAAATCACTTACAATGGATGATGCTCCTTAATGTTTAAAAGTTTAGTTTCCTGCAGAATCAGCTGGTCTCCTGAACATTGGCGGTTCCTATAGAGTCACCCATGTGTGTGCTAGTAAGTTGTGTGTGTCTAGACAAACACATAGGCACAGCAGCACAAGCCACTACCCTGCCCCCCCCTTCCTTCCTTCTCCAAGCTCGTAGATTGGCTGCTAAAGACTCTGCCATCACTTGTGATCTTGTACTGGACAGGAAGGTCAGGGAAGCAGAGCTAAGAAAGTTTGAGAGTTTAATACTACATTAAGGGACAGTTTTTGAACAGTGCATAAACATACAATGTACCACGCAAGCCTTAAGATCGTTAAGCTTTTACTAGGACAGACAGTGCTGCACATCTAGTTTACCACTGATAATGGAGATCCGTCAGCACAGTACAGACATGGTTAATTATGACAAACATAACTCCATATCCCCCTACTTAACATTACATAGAAGGGGAAAGTTAAATTAGATTTTTCAGCAAGTAAATGCGACTAAAAATATAAGCAGCAAATGTTTATTATTGTTGAGGGTTTTTATATGTGACTGGAAATATGTAGCAAATATTACATAGGTGTTTCTCCAGTTTGGCTACAAAGTTGGAAATACCCTTAAAGCAGACCTTGCAGTCAAATGTAAAGTCTGCTTACTGTCCAGGCCCCCACCCCTTCATAAATCACCTACTATCGGTAGGTGTAAAATGTACCTGTAAAAAAAATAGGGTTTATACTTACCTCACCCCTGTCTTTCTCACTTGGTGCCTAGGCATGAATGACATCACACTCCTTTTGGCTGGATCATGGGGAATACATAGCAGCCCACATCTTGTTAGAAGATGCTCTTACAATGGATTTCTAAAGTTTTCCAGTAAGATTTTGCCTGCTCTGCATTCCCCGGAATCTTCCTGGAATGAGTGATGTCACATTCAGAGATGGAGAAGACGAGGGTAAGGTAAGTATAAATCAAATGTCTTTTTCCCAGGTACATTTTGCACTTACTAGTCAGTGATTTGTAATGGGGGAGGGAGGTTGTGCAATCTGAGCAGACAGTGCGTTTTATTTCAAGGTGTGCTTTGAAGATTTAATGTAAAACATAGCAATTATGCATATTTTATATGAACAAATGGTATGTAGCACTTGATGTTGTTAAGTGATATTCCTTCTCTAGCTTTTCTTATAGGATGGAACATGATGGAAAACATTTACTGTTGTATTTCATATTATACAGTGTGTGTTACTAACAAAAGAACAAAAGCTCATCCAAGAGCAATGGAGATTTTACTGTGATCATCGTTGAAAGCTACTGCACTTGATATTACTAGTCATGATACAATAATTGTTTTATCGTGCAGCTGTCTTTTTTAATGCAAACTGAAACAAAATTGAGCAAATGTTTAATATTAGCAATGTTCACCTGCAATGAAGTTGATACTGTTTTTATTAAAGCTGTAACAAAAAGTATTTGAAATAAGCATGACATTGGTTAGGCGACGTTTCTCACTTCTCTTTTGAGAGTTGAATTTGGTTTAATGATGGCATCCTATTAGTTATAACAAAGACACTTTCCTCTAGTTCATTTACCACTTGCAGCACTGGATTTATACTTCCTCTCTCCCAAGGCCAGCTGTCTTGTGCTGCCCCCTCCAACTCCTAGTCAGTGGGCTAACCTTAACATCACTCTAATGAGATCAGAAACCATAACCACACAAGGCTGGGAATACATAGAAATACTGACAATTCACCCAGGTGAAAAATGAGGACCCAGATGGATTGCAGGCAAGGAATCTTTGAGAAACATGAGATTGTGTCATTGATAGACAACAACATGATGTGTGGGTGATTATGTGCCATCCCTAGCAACCTTGCCACTCTCATCCACAGCTTATGTTAGCATATGCACACTTTAATTGCATAGAAATAGTTTCTGAAGAATTTATTATACTGTATATGATGTAACTTATAATTTATTTACTATTAGTTTAAATTCCAAACTGTAACAATTTATTTTCTTTAAAAAGCACAAGTACCTCCTGTATCTGTTGGATGTACTTTAGATACTCCTTCCATTAGCTGACACAACTGTGCCACAGGGAGATGGTGCAGTAATAGGCAATCATCAGATATTTGGCGACTGTGGAGATATACAACAATAAAGTGCACAGCCACCTGCCTAGCTGACTTACAATCCAGCTGGTGGGGAAGTTTGGAACTGGATATCTATGGGTTGCCTTTGTGAAAAAAACATTAGCTGATTCTAAAAGTGGCTGTTGCTGATAATTGTATGCACATTAAATTTGCAAAGCACAATGTTATTGGATCAAAAAATACCTGAATAAAACAATATAGTGCACAGCCACCTGCCTAGCTGACTTACAATCCAGCTGGTGGGGAAGTTTGCAACTTAGCTGGATATCTATGGGTTGCCTTTGGGGAAAAAAAAAACATTAGCTGATTCTAAAAGTGGTTGTTGCTAATAATTGTGTGTACATTTAATTTGTAAAGCCCAATGTTATTGGATCAAAAAATACCTGAATAAAACTCATTATTAGTATACTATAGTAGATAGGAGAACTGGAGACAACCTTCATTATGGAATGTGCATATCAGACTTCATAACCATTGATATGCTTATACTTGTTAGAGGATAGTAATTCATTAAAGACTGACACAAGTATAAGAATGAGAGCATTTTCAAGAACATATCAGGACTGGTAGCTCACATATTTAGGTTGGTAGCTAATAACCCATACATCTCTCTGAATCATTACTGTTTAGTACTGAGGGATTTTTTTTGGGGGGGAAACGCAGTCCTAAGGGAAAGCTGTTGCACCTATTATAGTCTGTCAACTTTGCTTAGCCTATTAAATATAAGATGCTAGTGTGGTTTGATGAAATGTGAATGTAGTCAGGGAGAATCTTTGGTAGATTGAGCAGGGCATAAATATGTCTCACTGCTATATTTCAGTGTTGTCATTTATTTGATTTAAACAATTTAAAGCAGTCATGGCAAGACAATGAATGCCAGTGTAATGTACATTGTTTCCTTTGGTTTGTAAATCAATTCAAATGTGTATAAAAAGATTATGTGTGTTCTACTCTGGTGTGAAGAACCCAGCCCTGGCAATTCCTTAGTGCTGAATGCAATCCTGGTTTTCCTGGCCTGCAGTTCAATTAAATCCATTAAATCCACAAAGTGATGCTCCTAGTACTGTAAGGTAACTTAAATATAGCAGCTATAAAGTATACATCTACATACTTAGTGCAGTCAATGGGGTCAACTTGCTAAAGTGGATGTTGTTCAATAGCAATGTGAATATTCACTTTAAAAATGTATCTTAAATGTTGCACATTGAATGTTAGCGAATAAGGCTAAGCTGTGTTCACTTAGGTAGTCAGCTTTTTTCACTTACATTCACTTGGTAGGGGTATGTCCATTGCATAAATATTGTGCTGGAAGATGTCCCCCTTTTCATTTCATAAAGTTAGGAGGTATGTGGTGACCATTGTCATAGAGACAGAAGGGGATGGGTCCATCCACAAGACAATATGCAAGAAGCTGAAACCTGCAGCAAACGTGGAATTGTATCCTTATATGAGGGCAGTAAACTGAAATCTGACTAGTTGCTGTGAACTACTGCACTAAGTATATAGACATTATAGTGCGCATTACCTTATTTAAAAAGCCCATAGGAGTTCAACCATGAAATTATTTGAACAATACACAATGCTTTAGATGACACTTAGATGGTAACTTGTTTGCATTTCATCTGCATGTGATAACTTTAGAGCAGATAATTATCTGCAATAGCTATTTTAGAGCAGATAATTATCACTTCTTTACACAATAACAGGGACAGGATTAAAAAAAATAATATGTATTGAAATTTTAGCCTGGGATCACAGCAATTAAAGAATTGGTGGATTTGTAAATGTATACAGCACTGTTCTCCATACCCAATACTTCCAATGATAAAACTAAACATTGGACAGACAGTAAGTCTGATTTACAAAAATGTGATAGGAAAAAGCAAGTTGAAGTAGAAACACTGGAGCAGTGGTGTACAACAACCAGTAAGGGTTCACCTTTCAAATTAAGCATTCTTTTTGGTTGCTGTGGGTAACACCAGTTCTGGTAAACCATCTTGGTTTTTTAAATGTGTCCCTATTGCAAAGTCCGGTTTGCTGTAGACGCTTTCAGTAAAATTGTTGGACTGATAGGCCATCAAGGCACCACGTCCTGTATTGTTATATACACAGTAGAATCTTGATTTAATTGGACTTAAGTCCCCATTCACACCAGAGCAACAGCATTTTTCATGCTTTTCTAGTGCATTTTTGCGCATTTTTAATGAGTGTTTCAGCACATTTTAAAGGTGTTTTCTGTTCATATGCAAGAGCTTTTTAATGCTTGTTTTGAGCTCATGTTCAGTTGTCCATGAAAAGCAGTCTCAGCTACATAAACGCATTAAAAAGGCACAAGAATGCGCTGATTCAATTGAAGTCTATAGAGCAAAACGAGCTGATAGGTGCCACAAAAAGCTCATGGTCTATTTTAAACATTGGGCATATTGTTAGCATTTGCGTGAACGGCCCCTATAGGAATACATGGGATTTTGATTTGCATGCATTTCAGCGTGGAAAATAATGATGCACCACGAAATGCCCTGGTGTGAAGGTGCTAGTAAAGTGACAATTG